TTAAAGTGAACCTGGAGCATTTATAGATGTGGAGACTAAGAAATTCCTGAAAATACTGAGAAAGGCTTTATTTAAGCACACACTGCTACGGGACAGGAATTGGGGGGGGTCACATAATAATTAAGGAGCAGCATAACCTGGACCATGCAAGATGAAGAGAAATCTGAACCAGGGGCTGGCCCTGTGGTGTAGTGGTTAAGCTCAGTGCGTTCCACTTCATTCCCCCGGATTTGTGGGTTCAGATCCCAGGTGCAGACCTACCCCACTCGTCAGCCATGCTGTGGTGATGACCCACATATAAAGTGGAGGAAGACTGGCACAGAAGTTAGCTCAGGCCTAATCTGCCTCAAGCCAAAAGAAAAAAAAGAGGAAGATTGGCAAGAGATGCTGCCGCAGGGCTAATCTTCCTCAGGAAAAAAAAAATAGAGAGAGAGAGATCTGGACCAAGCTAGAACCAAGAACTATCCTCACAGCTCCTTAAGAGTTTTCACCAGCTGCCTAGTGAAAAGAAACTAAAAATCAACATCAGAACTCCTTTGGATTTCACTTACAGTGATAGTACTTAGCTCAGAATATTGTTCTACCCTTGACACACTAAGATGTTGAAAAAATTGCTTCGAAAACTTGTAGCTCAAATGGACCTCCTGAAAATAAAGTACAGGGGTGCCCCCTGGATTATCTCATTACTGATTTAAGACTTGGTCAATTTGCTGTACATCAGGACATTCTTCATCCTAAGCATTAAATATTTATTGCATTGAATCCGTTGGGATGAAAGGCTATTTTCAGAGAGAAAATTAAGGAAGAAGATAGCATGAAAAATGACTAGACCATAAGCTTCACAAGGGCGGGAACGATAATGTTCTGTTTACCACTAATGCATGTTGTCTGACCTTTAGACACTCAAATAGGTATTGAATGAATGAATGAAAGTTTATAGTATATAATTCTGTTTAGAATAGCTATATATTGTCTACGTTTTTGTCCTATGGGTAGGTTCAGCCATTCTCAATCACACAGCTTACATAAAAACTCTCCTCGAGACATTATCTTTATTATACCATGAGGTGGACCTTACATAACTACCAGAGTCAAGGTCCTTGCCCAGAATAAGTAAATCTGAATAAGCAGTGACCATTAATAACCAACCTTATTTCTCTCTGTATCTATTCTACAATAACATATATACACACAAATGTATGTATGCATGCACATACATACCTACATGTGTACACACACATACCTCCAAATTTTTGTCCCATCCATGGAACAGGTTAAAAAAATCATGGAATTTCCCATTTGAGAAACCTTTGACCCCACTCCCACTAATGTCGCGGGGCATCTCTGGGTTGGTGGTATGCTTACCAGGTTTCTAAAGATTAGATTCACAAAGTTAGTCTCTCTGACTTGGAGCCAAGTTAAATTGTGTCCTTATTTATAGTTATTATACTGTATTAAGTATCATAGATTTCTGATAAGACATTGAAAAAGAAGAAAATAAATCACAGCATTGAGCTCTCCTATGATGCCAAATTGCTAGTTATTTTTTGCCAAATTGTAACATAAAGCAGACTATGCATGTATTTTATATAATCTGGATATTATACAAATATGATCATATATTATAAATTTATATATTTACAATTTATATTTACAAAATCTAGATTTTATTCATATGTTATACAAGTGCGTGTGTATATCTATCCTGGATAGCTTATGAGATCTTTCATTTGAGCTTTGGTAAGTTAAGAAGAGTCTTAAGCTGGGCTAATCCTCTAAAACGTTTTGGCTGCATAATGCTATATTTCTAGAAATAAAGAAATATTATACCTTCATGATTAACTTTATCCATGATGCTTTTTAAAATTTTCATAAAGCAAGACTAAATGTTTTCAATTGGTCCTATGGTTATCTTTTTATTGCCAAAGCCCCACATTGCTAAGGATGTTATTTTCCCGTATTCGGCTAGAATTTTTTATGTTGTTTCTTATTCTTTGAGAATTTTGAGATATAATTTAGACTTTTAGAGGAATGAATTGCCTGCAGTGCTTTGCAAAGGTATAATTACATCAACGACTTTATAAACTCAGAGCCTAATGGAATTATTGCCGTGGAATTCTCTGTGGGTTGTTTCATCATCTGCAGTGCTGTCCTGGGCACACTTTGAAAGTAACCAGAGCAGCAGTGGGGCAATAAACAAGTCTTCACCTGGGCTCTCTCGCATAATCACAATTTCTATTTAAATCAAGGTAAATTTGCATTATTAAGTAATTTGAAGACAGAATTTTAAATATTTGGAGACATAAAGGCTTATCACAAGTCAGACAGAGAAACGCGGCTCATTCACAAGAGCTGAGTACATTTTTTTAAGGCATAAAGAGGCTACTTAGGAATCTTTCTTCCCGGTCTTCTAAAAGTTATGTGGTTATCTAAAAGGCATTTTTTTTGTTAGCTCAGGATGATTGTAAAGAAAATGAGATTATGGCTAAGGGGAGGGCTTACAACTTTAAAAAACTCATATTTAATATAGATGTATTATACATATAGACACATAGTATATATATAATACATATTTATTATACATATGTAAAAGACGTGTATATATAACATGTATGTATTATAAAACATAAAGCTTGGTAAACGTGGTTCATAAATTAACATTTTGAAAAATGAGACATTTCAAACATGCTCTCTGAGAAACGAAAGCAGAAACAGACTTTGTGATCATCAACATCCACTGGAAGTGTTCCCAAGAATGAGATGCTAAGAGGGGTAACTAGAAAACGTGTCTGTAGTGATCAAGAACGCAGAACCGGACGACGACTTTGAAATGTGGCTCCACCACTCACTACCCGTGTGGGGCGGGAGCATCCCAATCCACGTGAGGGCGAGCTGGTTACAACCAGTAACGACCAACCCCCAAGACTCAGGGACACACAACGCATTTTACTTCCCACTCGCGCAAAGCTTTCTGGGTCCATACAGACCTCAGGGCAGCCATGAACCTTCAGTTGGCCCAAGATTGCAGCCGCTTGAACCTTCCACCACCTCCGTATCCATAAGGGCCTCCCTGCTGCCATAGCAGGGAGAGAGATGCACCCCAGCATCAGCTCTTACAGGCTTCCACCTGTTGTTTATGACAATATGGATTATTGTGAAGGAGGCAGAAAGAAAAACTAAGATAAAGGTAACCTGAACTATTTAAAAATTTTATCACCCAATTTTAGAACTTAAAAGGATCTGAAAACAATCCAGTCAAGACCGTTATTTTCCAGATATAGAAACAGATCCCCAGAGAAAGTATAAGATTTTTGCGAGAGGCCACATAGCCAGCAACAGCAGAGTCAGGAGTCAAATTTGGGCATCTCTCCCAGTGCCCCACTGGCTGCAGTTGTGAAAGTGTGCTAACCCACTTGTCCCTTCTGTCCTATCCCAGACACCGGGGCAACATGGTAGTATAGTGTCCCTTTTCCAAATTAATATTTAGTGGAAAACCTAGAAATGATGGTAATGATAGAGGGAATGTCCTCAGGCATCAAATGGTATTGCAACAGATATCACTAATTTCTGCTCATTGTATTTTAGCAATGTGATACTTATTGTCCAACCTAACTGAAAATCCAGGGTTAAATACATACTGAAGAATGATATTTTTGTTTATGGCAGCAAAGAATAAGATCTGAGAGAAGAGACAGAATGGATGCCACAGACCTTTGATAACGATCAAAAATAAGGTCCGTTTATTATTTTGTGCTTTCTGGAGCAACATGATTTAGAAACGAATTTACACACAGACCCTTCCCACTCACAGCACACTGCAGGGTCCCACACTGCAGGAGGGAGAGCCGGAGCGCGGAGCGGGCTGTCACAGGAGGCTTGTTTCCACCTGCTGAGGGAAGGGGCACTCAGACAACAGGCCCAGAGAGGCAGAGCACCTGCTGCTGTGTTTAGTGAAGGGTACGGCCAGCAGGGACCAGGACAATCACTTTCCACTTGAACAGATCCAGGTTCAAAACGTAGCTTCAGTTACCTCTAAAATGACAGGAATGGTTGGAGTTCTATCACCACGTCCCTTCATTTACATCATCACCATATCAGCTTTCCCCATCCCCTCCCCTGCTTCCACTCAGGACCTGGCCATCCCAGGTCTTGAATCTGAGCTGAGGAGCAATGCTACCTTAAAGCATCCTGGGAAATAAATCCCAGACCAGAACTACTGCTTTCAGTCACTTCTTTGCTAAGCCACTCATCTTGCAAAATTGACAGCTCTTAAAATGAGTTCAGAGATGCAATGATTGTACACAACACCCCAAATACTCTGGTTAAGAATGCTTTTGTGGGGTAACCTCCCGTTTAGCCCTATATAATGCCATCTAACTTTAACAACTAGACATACTATTTATTCAAATGGCAGCTTGCTTACTGGATGACATTGACGGAAAATAGTTACATGCCTAAAGCTAGTATGGCTCTACCCAAAGATTCTGCAAAATCTTGTTTAGTGTAATGAAGACCATTATGACATTCTTCTTATTAAGTACAATATACATTTTAAAAACAAAGCTGGTACATCCTATTCTTTTAGAAATGGCATTGATGATATTCCTCCTCTGATGGATTATGAATTAGAAAGCTCTAGATAAGAATAAAAGCAGCCCATAAGCGGAGTAGCCTGGATCCCTCAAGATGGTATTTGTCATTCACATCCAGCCTGAGCAAGTATTCGGGCTAGTTTTATGTATCGAAACCCAAGGGGCAGGCTTAGCAAGGACAGTGTTTCTTGCTTCGAAGGAGGCAGGCTGAGAAGATGTGCTACATTTCGCTCAGACACTGAACTCGCCTCCCTTTTGTTCCTGCTTCTCTCCTGCTTGGAGCTGACTCCTCCTTCCTGCAGCTCCGAGGATGAGGATCACAGGCTGATTGAAGAACGCCGCGGTTCCCACGGGTAGCTGTGCTGTGTGTGTGTGTGTGTGTGTGTGTGTGTGTGTCTGCATCGGCAAAGCTGAGACCTACCTGAAAATCTCTCTGCCTTTTAATCCAGCTCTGGAACCAAATGCATCATGTTACTGCTCCTAAAAAGTGAACAGAGTTTGATTACCTCACGCTACAAGCTGCTTTGCTCCATAAGAAGGACCCAAAAGGACCCAGACATCACGGTTTTTTCAGTCTACCTGAGGAGCTTTTGCTTTCACGCCTGAAACTTGATGGTTTTGGGAGCGAGTTTCTGGTTTGTTTTTAATTGGAATGTTGAAAAGTTTCTTATTGATGCTTTAAATGGAAGCCAGTTTTAAAATATGGGTTGAGTCAGAGATAAAGGAGACATACCTGACCATTTTCTGCTGGATCGATGGGGGAGATCGCAGGGAAACTTGTAGGAGAAAATGAGATCTGATTTGCAACTAACAGCCACGCTTTATTTTGAGAGTATTTACAGACTCATTGAAAGGGAAATTAAATACTGACCCAGGACAATGTCTGTATTTTTCAGTAACTTATCAACTAATGACTCTAGCTTGCAGAAAGAAAATCGTAATTCGACGGATCCAGCAGGACCTCCGAATATCTATCTTTTTTGCCTGACAAGCCTGATGACTCTGGCAGCCCTGGCGGGCAGCATCTATTCGCTGGTGTCCCTGCTGAAAATGCAGAACAGAACTGTGGTGTCCACGCTTGTGGCTTCGTGGTCTGGGGATGACCTCATGAGCGTCCTGTCGGTGACCATCTTCCTGTTCCTGCAGTGGCCAAAAGAGGCCCCTGACCACTTCCAGCCCCTGTGCACCACCTCCGCCTTACTGTATCTGTGCCAGGGGCTCTCCAGCAACTTGAAGGCGACTCTGCTGGTCTCGTACAACTTTCGCACGATGCGCGGGGCCGCGGGGAGCGGGCCGGCCCTGGGAGGAGCGGGCCGGGCGCTGGGCGCGGCGCTGGCCGTGTGGGCGGTCAGCCTGCTGCTGGCCTCGCCGCCGCTGGGCGGCTGGGGCGCCTTCGTGCGCACGCCCTGGGGCTGCCTGGCCGACCGCTCCAGCTCCTACGTGCTGCTCCCCTTCGCCGTGTACTCCGCGGCCTTCGCGCTCCTGGCGGGCCTCTCGGTGCCGCTCACCCACCAGCTGCTGTGCTCGGAGGAGCCGCCCAGACTGCGCGCCAACTACCGGGCGATGCCCCGCGGCGCGTGCACGCCCGGGACTCCTCCGACCGCGGGCGGCGGGCTCGCCCGGTCCCCGGACGGCGCTGCGGGCCCTGCCCTGCGGGGCGCGGGAACTCGGCCCCCGAGCTCGGCCGCTGCGCTCGGACCGAGGCCGGGCGGGGGGTCCCGGGGGGCTGTCCACGGCCCCCGCAGCCTCGCCGTGAGCGCGGCGCAGAGGCGCTTCTCTTTCGTCCTGGCGCTGGCGAAGGTCGTCCTGTGGCTGCCCATGATGGTAAAGGCGCGGTCGCCCGTGCGCGGGGTGTGTGCCGGGCGGTGCGCGTGGGCACCGGCGTCCCCGAGACACGCGCCGCTCGGTCCACCGCGCGATGCGTCTCCGGTTCAGCCACGCGCCGGGAGGAGGGCAGCTCGCGGGTTGGGCTGGCTGCCCACGGAGTCTTGGCTACTGAAGTTCCCGTTTCAAAACTGGGCAGGGGGCGGGGAGCGCTCTGGGCGGGAGACTTAGTTTCCCTGGATCCGTCCTGGCCAAAGGTGTTCTCTTCTCTCGCAGCAACATCTGGGAGTGTGCAGAAAAGGAGGCAGGGAGTAAAAGGGGCGTTTTCCCCCAACCTTCTGTCATCCCCTTCTCTCCGCTCCATCCCTGCCCGGTAGGGGCGCCGCCCGTGCCCAGCAGGAGAGAGAGCAGAGGCGCCATCAGAAGTAGTGGGAGAAGGCGGGGTACAAAACAGGCTTTTGTTCAAGCCTGCAGGCGGGAGCCCCGTCGAGAGTGGCAGGGCGGCACCCTGCTGTGACAAGCGCCCGCGGAGGTGAGGGTCGGGGATGTGAGGTGCAGGTCGCGGAGACGCCCGCTCGTTTTCCCGGTAGCGTCCCTCGCGCTGTGGACTGTGCTTCCCTGGTGGAGACTTGACCTGGCGGAGGGCCCAGAGCGGGCTCAAGAGCGAAACCCCCAAACCCCTGTGCGGCCTGGGGCGGCGGGCCTGCCCCAGGGGATCCAGGGTCCACCGCCCAAACCAGGGCGGCGGCCCAGAAAGGAGCCTGCAGAAGGGGGAGAGGCTTGGCGAGGTGCAAAAATGGGGTCCTGGGACAGCTCTGAAGTTCTCTGCCTTTGCAGGTCCACATGGTGGTCCAGCACGCCGTGGGGTTTCAGAGCCTTCCCTTCGAGACACTCAGCTTCCTCCTAACCCTGCTGGCCACCACTGTGACCCCAGTGTTCGTCCTGTCCAAACGCTGGGCCCACCTGCCCTGTGGCTGCATCATCGACTGCAAGCAGAGCGCCTGTGCGGTGGCGTCGGACGGGAGGAAAGGTCAGTGGTGCAGAGCGCTGGGGTCGGTGCAGAGCGCTGGGGTCGGTGCAGAGCGCAGTCAGTCAGGTCAGAAAAGTGGTCCGTGGAGAGCCGGGTGAGCAGGGAGGAAGAGGCTGAGGGCGAGTGAGAGGTAAGAAGAAACTGTGGAACAATTCATAACACAGGGTTGACCTAAGTTTTAAATGAGGCAGGTTTAGAGCCATGATTATTTTAGGTAAGAAAGGAAGAGACAGAATTCATTCAACACAGGCCCTTAGACGTGGTGTCCACCACAGCCCTGAGCCCAGAGTAGAAAATGAATCCCCTCCTAAGTCTAGTAGGAAAGAGATGAGCTCCTTGAGGAGCTGGAAACTCATGATGGCTCAGCCCATTGCTAGTAGTGGAACAGTAAAGACAGCATTCTCCTTACGGTGCCGCGATGTTCTTCCAGGGTTTTGGATGTGGTTGCAGAGTGCCTGAAAACAGTTCCAAAACAAATGTCAAGTGTTTGTCTCTGCTTTTAGAAAACACACATATACACACAAAGCAACACCCCCACCCCAAAACACCTCAGTTTCAAGAAAGGACAAAGGTGGGCGAGTTTGTCAATGTACGTTTGTGTATGAAGCTAGCTATGCTAGCTACTTAAAAAAAAACCAACAAATAACAAATGTGTTCTAAAGGCACACCTAGAAAGGAAGTGGGTCGGTTACAGAACCACTGGAGTGTGGCTGTTCCCACACGAACACAGGACAAGTTGAGGACTGACTTACACATTTTGACTCTGCCAGGAAGACAATGCATTAGCATACACTGAATTAACTGTTCCATTAATGGTCCTTTGCTCAGAATAAGCATGTATTTTGTTCTTTAACAGAGAAGAAAGGGTAAATAAAAACAGTTCGTCTCAGACTATTTTAGAGGTGTGAAAACTGGAGAATATTGAAGTATATTCTACACTCAGTTCTATGACAGGGTTATTCTATAAACACTTATTAGGTTACTCTATAACCATTGATTAGTCATGAACTAGTCATTTTCCATGCATTGATGACATTTAAAATTTAATATGTCTAGGTATTTTTCAAATGACCAGTGTTTTTTTTTTTTTTAGTGTTATGTATGCCATAAAGTCTTATTGTAATAGATGCCAAATTCATCTATGTTTTTAAAATAAAATAACCATGGAACTTATAATAATTATTTGCTTTTGGAGATTAATATCCAGAGCAGCAATGACACAGAAAATTAGTAATAAATTTTGCAGGGACACATAAAAGAACATATAACGTATAAAAATAATTGACCAGCCTGAAAATTCTAGTGTTCTATCAAGCATTAACACTTTGCTACTAAATTAGTGAATTAGCCTTTTCTTATGGTATTTAAGACTGTGAGAGGACAAGAAAAGTCTAGTGCCACCGAAAATGGAAAGTCTGTGTGAAGTGCTTCAGGGCAGTCATTTTAAGGAGCGGACACCCCTATCAGAAGTGAAAGCAACACAATGCAACAGCTCCATCACTGCAGATGGTCTGGGAAGGATTCTGTCTTCTCCTGCACAAGACCGAAGGGCCTGCAGCAGGCCAGCAGAGTCAACCATCACGTTTACATCTCATGTTTGAAATTAAAACCATGCCTTTCGAGATCAAAATGACATTTTTCTTCTAAAATTACCATTGCTTTTATTTGTATTTATTCTAAAATTTCAGGAAAGGCATTGAAATATGTGGCTTACAGAAGAAGTCATGGCTTCAAAAGTGAGACATTGTGAGAAACATTAGTTTAAGATGCTTATGGTTCCAATGGCTCCATCGTTTTTATGATCGCAGGTTCTGCCATAGGAAATTCTGAGAATACATGTGGTGTGTTCTCACTGTCTGAGGACCCACTGTAAAGTTTCCATTGCTGGGATGACACAACAGGATTTTTTTTTTGAGGAAGATTAGCCCTGAGCTAACATCTGCTGCCAATCCTCCTCTTTTTGCTGAGGAAGACTGGCCCTGAGCTAACATCCATGCTCATCTTCCTCTACTTTATATGTGGGACGCCTGCCACATCAGGGCTTGACAAGCAGTGCCATGTCCACACCAGGGATCTGAACCAGCGAACCCCGGGCCACCAAACCAGAACATGCGAACTTAACCACTGCACCACTGGGCCGGCTCCAAAAATAGAATTTTGAAGACCCTAAGATGGCTCATCCTCAGGTGGGCGGGTGCTTCATCAATTATAGGACTTTGATTCTTTGGGACTATGGCTCCAGTTTCACATTTAAGCTTTTTCTCCATAATAAACTAAGAGCCCTCCCTTTACATTCTTTTCTTTTTTTATAAAGATTGGCACCTGAGCTAACAACTGTTGCCAGTCTTCTTTTTTTCCCCCTGCTTTTTTCTCCCCAAATCCCCCCAGTACATATATTTGTACATATGTATTGTATATTTTATTTGTGGGTCCTTCTAGTTGTGGCATGTGGGATGCCGCCTCAACATGGCCTAGTGAGCGGTGCCATGTCCGCACGCAGGATCCGAACCCTCGGCCGCTGAAGCGGAATGTGCGAACTTAACCACTCGGCCACAGGGCCGGCCCCTAACCCTTTACATTCTTTATCAGGGAACTCCAGAAGCAAGGAAGGGAAACTGTTTTCTCCTAACTCATATTTACCATGAACTCATTTTGCAGATGTAAATATAATTTTACATCTCAGCTTCACTGAATGGAAACTGAGAGTCATGCAACCAGAAAACGGATGTCAGTAATGGAAAATAATTTGCGGAAATAATAATTCTCTCCTGTTTCTAACAATAATCTATATTACTATCATCTCAAAACAAAAGTGTTAAAAAAAAAGGATGATTTTTAACACAGAGGTCCCAGGTGGCAGACACACGGGTTGGATATGGCTTTCAGACTCATTTTGTTTGCATGACATGACTTTTACTCAGTTTTTCATCTTTCATTTTTTGACAAAATGAGAATATCTGGTGACATTACTCTGAAGAATTATTTATTTTTATAAGCTGATATAATTAGCTATGTCTAAAATCCTAATTAGCAAGATGTGATTAAAAGCAAAACTAGAGCTAATTCAGGCTTTATCCAGGGTTTTGCTTTCCAGAACAAATATTAAATTATATTTTTCCTAAGTGTAGTATAGACCTCAAAAGATCCTGACTACATTCTGATGGTTCTGAAGGTTCTTGTAAGCTATTAGTCAAACATTGTCAACTCTGTTGTCTTGTTATAACGTGTTGTCTCCATTAGTTACCTCAGTCAGAATTTACCTTTCGTGTTAAGGAGTCACTAACAAGAAATGTTTTTCTTGGTTACACTTCATAGTTAATGAACTTCCCATAAGTTAAAGACAGCAAATCCAGGACATTCTGCCTCCATTACCCTGTTTCTCTCATGGGTCTGATTATAGTAAAGCAATTTCACACAGAGGTTAATAACTCCAATTCTGAAATCAGTGAGCTTTACATTCAAATATCTTTACCAGGTAAGTGACCTTAGATAGGTTTTCTCTATCAGTCTCAGTTTTTTCAATTGTAAAATGGCACCAATAAGCTTTTTCCTGTGTGGGGTTGTTGCTGCGTCACGTGGCCTGACCTGTGTGCATCCCTTGGTCCTGGGACGTGCCATCTCCCCTCAATATCCACCACACTCCCACTTTCCTCCCATTGCCTGAGACTGCCTCGTGCACCTCATGACATGCACGCAGATTCCCCATTGACAAAACCTGCACACTCCTTCAAAAACGTTACTCATTTTTGCTTTACATGGTTCATAGTTATAATATGCAGCTAATAAAATATATAGCCACAGACTCAATTTTATCACGTTGTGTGATAAAATTGTATTTTTATGACAGTTTTTCTTTGCTTAATGTTCCTGAGTTGACAATTTGTCACTTTATATCATTTTTAGAGAAAAGGGAAACCTATCAATAATTTAAACATCCTTTTAGTTCTATCAGCTTTCACACTTTTAAAGTTAAAAATCTCAGTTTAATTTTACTGGACTATATTACTAGAAAAGGTACACAGAACTATAAATGAGACAGTATATAAACTATTAACATATGTTTCTACTTTTCCATTTTCTTTGAATTCCAATTTCTTTGAAGAAATTCTTGTTTGTGTTCTGGCTCAAACAAGGAATGTTTTGGCTAAAGTAATATATGATATCTATAAACGCTATTTTTCAGACAGCAGAATTGGCTTTTAAATCTTCAGTTCTGGGAAAATTTCAGAATCGAATCAGCATGTGAATGACACTAGGATGTATTATAAAATAAATCAAATTTTACCTGTTGTTCCCATAGAAATTTTATAACTTTTCATAAATTTTTTCACTAAGGAAATGTCTGCTATAAAATACAGTTATCCAAGTAGAAAAATTTTTTGAAATGATCTATGTTTTCAAAGATGAAAACCAAAACATTAAATTGCATTTTGTCTACTGTCTTGATATAGCTTCATTCTCAATATATAAAAATTACCTAGTACTTAATGACATTCACACAAAAGTTGTAGGACTTTCTGCCACATTTTCACTTATTATTCTACTAAGACTTTGTACCATTTCCACCAATTAGTAGCACTATATTTAAGATACCATCATATTTCACATAATTTAAAACATAAAAATTTTTATGCATCCCTGCTAAACTCATCTTGTAATTATTCACGTTGATAGACATGTTGTAAAGTGCTTCCATTCACAGAAATATAAATCTGTTCACTCTTTTTAACAATTCATTCCAAATTTATTTGTATCAGAAATGTACATGTTATTTTAAAAAGTTTAAAAACTAGATTACAGCATTGTCTAATTTTTAACATATGCGTTTATAAACATATAAATGTCAGGAATGGTATACATAAAAATATTTAAAGCAGTTATATCTGTTGGTAGTATTGTCAGCTGAATAACTCATATAATATTAAGAGCTACTTAATAATTAATTTCTAGCAAAACAAAATTTATAAATAATATATATTTTTTTAAAGATTGGCACCTGAGATAAAACATTTGTTGCCAATCTTTTTTCTTCTTCTTCTTCTTCCCCACAAAGCCCTCCATACATAGTTGTGTATTCTAGTTGTGGGTCCTTCTGGTTGTGCTACATGGGACGCCGCCTCACCATGGCTTGATGAGTGGTGCCATGTTGGCGCCCGGGATCTGAACCAGCGAAACCCCGGGCCACCAAAGTGGAGCTCACGAAATTAACCACCTGGCCACGGGGCCAACCTCTATAATGAATATATTTTATCCCCAAATAAAGAAGTGTACAGATAATTGGTAGACTAAAACTGCTGAAACTAAAACTGAATGTATATGAGAGCTTTCTAATTTATGGTTACACTTTTGTTACATAAAACTGCTTTAAAGTCTGCAGGGCCCTTGGGATTTATGTATTTCAAGCCCTTCATTGTGCAAGTGAAAAAGTTAGGCCCAGAGTGATAAGATGACTTGAATTTGTGAGGCATAATTGCTTTTCGTGATTGTCAAGAAGTAAAGGGAGATAGATTTAACTTCATAGTAATCAGGTTGAATACACTTTCCTATTTTTATTCACTATGTATATCCAACTACTGTTTATATCTACCTTCCTAACCAAGGAAATTTGGTTTTGTTTTTACTTAGCCAAGAGGAGAGGCTTTGAATTCAATCTATCTTTCCAACGAAGTTATGGAATTTATAAAATAGCATATGAAGATTACTATGACGATGCTGAAAATTCTACATCATATCACAATCTCATGAACTACGAGTGCAAAACTGCAAAAGACTCTCAGAGAGACTCTTGTGATATCTTCAACGCCATAAAAGTGGAAATCAGCACTACACCCTGTCTGGACAGCTCCACCCTGAAAGGCATCAACAAATGCACGAATACTGATATTACAGAGGCTGAACAGGATTCCCACAGTCAAAGGGGCGTTGATCTACTGCTTTCTGAAAAAACAGGAGGTGACATTAACTATGAAGAAACCACCTTTTTGGAAGGGCCAGAAAGAAGACTTTCTCATGAGGAGAGTCAGAAACCAGACCTCTCAGACTGGGAATGGTGTAGGAGTAAATCAGAAAGAACCCCTCGTCAGGTACAGTAAAGGTTGTTTTTCATGTCAAATTAAAAGTGAGACCACATATGATAGGCATAAAAAAATTATCAGTTGCTTATTTCATCCTATCATGTCTGAGCTGAATTTCACTTGCCTCGATTAATTTCCATACTACCAGATTTTATTTCAAGGTGTCTTTTGAAGGATTTTTAAATTTTTTTAATTACTTACACATTTTCATTCAAAATCTATACGTTTGGGGATTGGCAGAGCTAAATAGGTTCTTCGAGAAGCGCAGAGCATTCTATTTCATCCTCAAGTAATCTGTCTAAATTCAGACTAGACTCTCAGAACTTGTTTCAAATTAGTTAACTTGTAGGTTCTATTCTTCTCTCTCTCACCCAAAAAGTATTCCACAGTCTCCAAGAGAGGTTTTCTGTTTTTACGTAAAGGCAAATATTTATACGGCTGGGAATGAGCAGGGGAGGCCGGCTACACCTATACCAGACAGCTTGCCTCTTGGTCCCATTAGAAGTAAAGCCTCTAGTGCTCGGCAGGGAAAAAAGATCTATTCCAGATACCCCCAAGGGGGCCGTGCAAGCCCTGCTGAATGTTCCATCCCTTTAAGGATGGAAGAATGGTTCTACAATGTTTTCTAAAATTGGAAGAATTTGAGTGTTAATCTCACCCCATTCTCTCTTGGATTCCAGCCTGCCTGGAATGATGGCGGATGCTTCTTATTTTATTGAAATTGTGGTGTGATATCAATAGGAGATTGCTCTCTCAGAGTCTCAGGTCTGGTAATTAAAGGCGCCCTTGCTTGCTTTCCCCACTATTGGTTTACTAGGAAGAGGAGCCTTTTTCTACACAATTTAGTGGAAATCAAAGTCCACTTGCACCTAGTCTCTGGAAACAAAAACGTAATTTCAGAAATATCTGCTAGGAATAATGCATTCGTTGATCAAAAGTATGAACATGTAACACCAACTACAAATATGAGCAGAGTAATCTGAAATTTCCTTTATTCTCATTGATTAATTAAAATGACTAGTCTTACTCTGATATCACTGTTTAAAAGGTAAGTTGAATAGGGGCCTCATGAGCCTCATGGCTCATTAGGCCGTGTTGAGGTGGCGTCCCACATGCCACAACTAGAAGGACCCACGACTGAAATATACAACTATGTACTTGGGGGATTTGGGGAGAAAAAGCAGCTAAAAAAAAAAAGGATGGGCAACGGTTTGTTAGCTCAGGGGCCAATCTTTAAAAAAAAAAAAGCAAGTCAGATAATAAAAGAAAATATACAAAAATATTATTAAAATAATTATTCGTGTTATTTAATGATTAGGATCTTGGAAAAAAATCACCAAATATTTACCATAAATTGAAAACTACAGTGAAAAGTATTTTCTTGACAGGACATAATGCTCAGTATTTCTAGAGCAAAATGGTACCCCAGCTAAGAGGATAATCCCTACAATTTCAAATGTGTGCACATGTGTGTGCGTGTGTGTGTGTGTGTACACGTCCCAATAATGTGCTACGCCCCGACCCCATCCATGCTTACCCCTGAGGGCGTATAGCCATCTTGAATCTTGCTCCTGCTTTTAGTTTTCTTGTGTTATCACAAATGAACATACTTCTAACAGAGTACGTTGTTTAGTTTTGCTTCTTCCGAGCTTTCTAAAGATGGTGTCATACTGCACCAATTGCTTATCATACTGTGTCTGCTCTTTTTGTACTCAACATTATTTTAAATGACTCCATTTTCTTATGCTTTTTGTGAAAACTTTGGGAATTATCATCTAAAAATATCACAACTTACAGCCCTCATTTAGAAGTTTTGGTTCTAGTTTGGAGGATGTAAGCAATTACCAACACTGAGAAACTTGTCAAAGGGTCAGACAGTGTTTCCATGTAAGTACATTGTCCTACAAGGATGAAGAATCACGACTTACCCGCAAACCTCTGTAAATCATAAAATAAAATGACTTAGGGGCCGGTCTGGTAGCACAGTGGTTAAGTTCGCCCACTCCACTTCAGCGGCCCAGGGTTCGTGAGTTCGGATCCCGGGCATGGACCTACACACCACTTGTCAAGCCATGCTGTGACAGGTGTCCCACATATAAAGTAGAGGAAGGTGGGCATGGATGTCAGCTCAGGGCCAGTCTTCCTCAGCAAAACAACAATAGTAAATCCTTAAACCACAGGCTGATGTTATTGGTATGACCTTCCCTTGGCAAAACTGCCTATGGCCTTTAAGGTTAACATAACCAAAACACACTAGGGTTGGAAAGCTTATGAGAATGCTCCCTGTGACCCGAGACGGGTTTCTGCTCTCCCCTGTTCTCCACCAGCAGGCATTTCAGGGCAGGAGGTGGTAACTTGAAGCACTGCCATTTCCTCCTTTTCTTCCAGGCGCCCTCTGTGCTCTGCAGGCAGCGTTAACTCGTGCGTCTTGCAGTGATACATTCAGCTGCGGTGGACGTGGCAGTGACTCTGAAAACACTCTCTCTTTTGATTTTCTACAGTTGTACTTTCAAATATTTAGGCTCAATCTATCAGCTCCTATCTAATGGTGCTAATTGAATGTGTATGTTCTTTGTTTTTAGGCTTTTAAAAACAGGTTTGATTTAAAATATATTTAGTGAGTCCCATTTTATTTTTACAATACATGTTGCTTCATTTTTTATTAGCATTTATGTTAGCGAACAAATTCTCAGTGTGTCTTGTTGGCAATCCTGGTGGGAGTGAGTGTCAGATGGTTACAGCGAAAGGAAGATTCTGGTAGGATGGCTTCAGTGAGTTTAAATGTGATCCAGTGAAACTGATGAGAGTTGAGAGTGTAAGACTGAAATTCAGTGTTAAACTTAGCCACACAATCGCTTCTTTTTGGACCCCTATTAGCTAGAATCCTAAGCTGTTCACTGTTAAGATGTTCAGAGAAAAATAGTCATAAATGTCAGGGTTCTTCAGTTACAAAGTTTCAAAGTGGTAGCCATAGTATGATTGTTCCTCAAATGAAGTAATAATTCTCCAGAATCCAAAAGTGTTGTCATCTGTGAATAAAGAAATTAGACTTATACAGTAATTTAGTGGCTTGTGGGTAATCACTCTAATTTCCTCTTTTAATATTTACACTCACCAAATTACCCATGGATTCCATTTTCTTTTCCTTTCATGTGTTATTGGAGAGCTCTAGAAACTCATGTATTCGTTTTTGCAAATCAGAAACAAAGATATGCTGTTAACTATGCCACTTAATCCCAGTTATAATCCTATCATCAAAGCATCGGAAAGGTTCAAGGTTCTTCATTATGCCACTAGAATATGGAAAAACAGATTCTAAAATGATCCTTCTCAAGTGAGAGACAAACGGGGTAAGGGATTGCATTTGAATTAGTACATAACCCATTCAGCATAAGGACGAAAAACCAACAAGAACTAACTTTAAAGTCACCTGAGAACCAAAGAAATTTTATTTCCATTTGAAGGAAAATGTTTTCACTATCTAAAAACAGTTCTACAAATCAAAGTTGTGCTGTCGGTTCACAGAGTTCAGTGGCAACATTGGTTTCTATACTCTTTTTTAATGTTATTACTTCTTTAAATAATTTTCATAGGAAAGTGTGGAAACCCAAAGTCCAACTAGACTATTTTGGATCCTTTGGATCAGAGCTTCTCAAAGTTTAGTGTGCAAATAAGGCAAATGGGGATCTTGTTAAAATGTAGATTGTGATTGAGTAAATCTGAAGTGAGGTCCAAGCTTTTGCATTTCTAACAAACCCCCAGGTGGCCCCAGTGCAACATCAGGTTCCCCCCAGACCTGCAGGATCAGAATCTCCGCCGGCTCAGATGCCCATTAAAATTCCAGAAACCCAGCTGTAGCCTCTGGTCACCAGGAGATGGATACTAGGTTAAAGAACAGGGCAAAATTAATCCTTTTCACTTAAGATATGCCCCATGAGGTGAAATAAGACTAGAAGAAAATACCCCGACACACATATCTATTTCCTCTCCCTAAACAACATACGTGTTCTCTTTTCATTTAAAAAAATAAAATGTTAAAAAAATAAATTAGGGTAAGATGTTAGTGTTTCCCATGAGACTCTTAACTTAAGAATTGCAAATGCTTAATCTTGTTCTCTGAGTAATTTTTGACATTTTTAACTGAAGTGACCATAGGAGAAAATTCACTTACCAGCTCCTATTTGTAGCCTCAAGGCAGTCATCCTAAAAAATGACTATCTGGAGTATAGATATTTTATGTTTGGCTACATCCATTTGTTTGGAGTGGTTACTCACTATTCAGAGACCTGAAAAATTGTAACACTGCTTTTTTTTAAAAAAACTTTTTGAGCCTTCATTGTTTTATGATTATAAAGTAATATAATTATTGTAGAAAATTTAAAAATTGTTGATAAGCAAAGAAAAAACACCCACTTCCGACCATTCCAAGTTAACTACTGTTTATATTTTATCATGTAAAATGTTAGACTCTTTCCCATGCTCGTATTTTTACTTTTGCCACAATTGGGACCCTGCTGCAGTTACTGCTGTGGAATCTACCCTCCTTAAGAGTGTAATTTTCACCTGAGTTCACTTGTTTGAGTCTTTTTTTGTGATTATCTGGTATAGTTTAGAATGGCTTTTTGGAATGTGGCTGAAAACTATCCATGAGTGTGAATTTTTTCTCCAGAATTCAAAGTCTTGGAAGTTGAAGCGAAGGGAGTTGCATCGTAAACTAATTCACATATTTCATAACATACCTTGTGATCCTCACAGCATGCCCCATTTGCTGAAATTAAGTACAATGGAGCTAACTGTTCAATTTCTTTCTACAAAGTCAAGGGGATAAACATTGGATCAAAGTTTGTGGCGAATCCTATAATTCACCTTTTAAGCTAAGAGTTCTGTCAACATTCTCTAAAAAGCTCATGGTTTAAAGAGACTTTGAAGCTATGAATCGGACCACCCCTTTATGGCTTGAATCTCTTTACAACCTCCCACTGAGTGATTCTTCCTTACTTGAACTCAAG